TTACAGAAGCTGCCAGAGCACCTGTTCTGAGATTTTGTTGATCTCACCCTTTATCAGAGAACTCCTGGCATGATAGAAACGAAAAGCTTCCTTTCCCCAGAGGGACATTTTAAATGTTTTTACCTACTTCGATCTCATCTTTATCACGGACAGTAAGTTTTCGGAATGCAGAATTGCAGTAGTAATGTTGGGATTAAATTTTTATTACTGAGGCTTTGAAGCACAAACAAAATTTTAAAAGCCCGTTAGTAATTGGGAATTGTAATCCTGCAGAGGATACAGTTTATGGCTGTAATAACTTTAAAACACAATGATAAATATGAAAATATTATACTAGAATTTGGAGGAATGTTTTCACCTTCATTTCTTTATTAAACTGTATAGAAATTATTCTTGGGTGTTCAGTCTTATCAAATATATGGGTTAACGTTAAGGTGAAAATATACAAAAATACTCTGGTATTAGTTTAAGATTGCAGTAAAACTCTTAACAATTTTTGCAGGTTTAGCTGTGAAATACAAAGGTGAGAAACAATTTCATCACTTAGAAAGGTATAGTTTATTTAGCCTTCTTTGTGGGAAGACTAAATGTAGTTCGTTTAGTTGTTCATTCATTCACTCACTCATTCATTTAGGTAACACACACTTACTGATTACTGTGTCAGGCACTGTGCCATTTGGTAAGGATACGAAGATGGGCTTGGGGTCATCTTTGCCCGTGTGTGTTTTACTGACACAGTATCTTTTATCTTGTGTTGGGCTGCCTTGAAATTGTGACTCAAATAGATGCTTGGGTTGAAAATGAACTTTTTTTTTTTTTTTCCCCACATTGGGAGAGAAACCATGCCAACTCAGGTAGAGTGTCTAGAGAGGCTAAGGTTTTGATAGTCTTGTATTCCATTTTCATTTTAAGGGAGACGATATAGAAAGATAAGTTCTTCATTACGTTGTAGTGTTGGAGCTGCTCGCGGCACAGTGGTATCACGAGTCTTGAGGGCGGCTGGGATATGGTTTAACAGAAACACACGGCAGAAGCTCAGGAGTTAATCCCTGCTAAGTGTGTTCAGAAGTAGCAGGTCAGAGATGCCTGCTGGCCGGCAGGTCCACAGTGGTCCTCAAGAGGCATTGTAGCAGAGTGGGTAAGAGCCGTTGGGCCTGGAACCCGATTATCTGGGTTTGGACACTGGATCTGCAGACGCGTGGGACAAGCTAGTTAACCTCTGGGTACTGTGGTTTACTCATTTGTGAAAGGGAGATGGGAACGACAACAGTTTCTCATATTGTCTTGGCAGGATCGAGTGAGTTAATCCCTGGGAAGTGCTTAGGACGGTAGCTGACACATAGGGCTCAGTAAATAGTGGCGCTGGTGGTGCTGCTGGAGGAGCAGCGGCAGCACTACTAGCAGTGGCAACAATGCAGTAATGATAGTAGCAATAGTAGTAGCAGCAGCAGTAGCAACCTTAGCGATAGTAGCAGCAGTGGTAGTATTGGGGCGGTAGTGGTGATGGTGACCATCAACACCTTATCATCATCATGAATTCCTTTATTCGTACCGTGTCGCAGTCACAAAAGGTCCATCTATGTAGGGGAGATCAACAAGAGATAGGGGGTCACATTTATTGATGGACTGTATTTTTTTTTTTTTTTTTTGTGGTACCCGGGCCTCTCACCGTTGCGGCCTCTCCCGTTGCGGAGCACAGGCTGCGGACGCGCAGGCTCAGTGGCCATGGCTCACGGGCCCAGCCGCTCCGCAGCACGTGGGATCTTCCCGGACCGGGGCACGAACCTGTGTCCTCTGCATCGGCAGGCGGACTCTCAACCACTGCGCCACCAGGGAAGCCCGATGGACTGTATTTTAAGAATCAAGGAAGAATGTCTTCTTAACACTGATGTGACAACTTTGTATTCTACCTAAGCTGTGTGCCATCAGTGACTATCACCAAAAACTGTGGGTTGGGGACTCTGTCCAGTAGTCCTGTTACCTTTTAACAAAAGGGCAAAAGGTTACCAGCCCTTAAGAGACCTGCAGCATGGGCTAGGCTGCTGTCCGCTCCCACCTTCCCTCATTGTAGTTCCCATCATAGTTGTAGCAGTGCCACCATGGAAGTCACACAGAATGCCAGTTCAGTGACTGTGTTCTCACACTTCATTCCCTCTCCCGTAACCCTTCTGCCCGGATTCTCTCTGGACATCTGCACAGAAGGGCAGCAGGGAAGACAAAGGTTGGGGGAGTGTGCTTAATTCAGTGGTTCTCAAATGGGGTGCAGTCTGGAGGCATTTCTGATTGTCACATGGGGGGATTGCTACTGTCATTTTGTGGCTGGAGTCCAGGGATGCTGCCAAACACCTTAAATGCATAGAACAGCCTCTTCCATCCCCTGCCCCACCCCCCGGCAAAGAATTATCTGGTCCCAAGTGTCAGTTGTGTCAAAGGTGAGAAACCCTGAGTTAACCCAAACTGGAGGGTCAGGGCCTCTGCGTCTGGCTAATGACAATTGCTGGTAAGAGTTAAATGCCATTTTTACACGTGGACTCCTTGGCTGATAATTCAGGCTCTGGACAAAGAGGCTGGAGATGGGGGAGATTGATATCATTTATCTGAGGAGTGGTTTCTTTACAGTGAATACAGCCCCCGAGTGGCACCATTGCCCCCGTCTGTGTGACTGTCCTCTGGCAATCTTCAGAGCTCTGGAGAAGGGGCCAGTGCTTTAGATTCAGTGTAAGAGCAGAGCCGGTGGCTGACTCCTGCTGTCCACGCCAGCCAATGATGTGTCAGGGACAGGCTGTGAGTCATGCTGACTGTGGGACTGCAGCCCCTGGAGGAGAATGATCTCATGACCCTTTGGATAAAACAGTAAAGCTTTGCATCACTCAGGGAGAGATTTCTCTAGGAAGGATGAGAGCATTTTCCAAAGGTTTTATTTTTTATTTATCTATGTAACAGACAGTTATGTAGTGCTTATTGTGTGCCAGGCAGTGTTCGAAACATATTAACTGATTAAGTCCTCATTACAACCCCGAAGAGGTAGGCTTATTCTTTCAACTCGTACAAATAAGGATGCAAAAATGGAGAGAGACGACTCAAACCTAGGAAGTGATTAGAGTCTAATAAGCCCTTAATCGTTACGCTGCGGATGAAAGTCACTGAATTTCATGCTTGGTTTCTTTTTTCAGCCAGGCTCTCGACTTCTGGCTGGTCACACTGAGATGTCAGGGAATTAGGCAGACCTGAGTCGAGTCTGCGTTGCACTTTTGTATCTCTTTAACCATGAGCATATTACTTTCTGTCTGTGAACCTCAGTTTTCTCTTCTGTAAAATGAAGTCATACCTGCTTCATGGAGAATGTGAAGATAAATGGAATTCCTTATAAGTGTGCATGGCACGTGATAGGCGTTCAGGAACTCTTAGTTCCCTTCTGACCTTCTTTGTTATAATCATATTTTTAGCCAATTGCTCTAATGTTATGGCCAGCTTGTCTTACTACCTGTGGGTAAGGTACACACTGAAGAGCAAAAAATAGACCTGGTCGGATGTTTGTTAGAGTGAGTGAATGAACAATCTGCTATAGATCTTAACGTGGTGAAGAAGTCTGATGTTTGGTGTTGGGTGTGGTGGAACGATTGACATTATGCTAATAAGGACATAGAACCAGACTTTCAGGATGAAGATGTGGGTTCTGTTTCTGTTCGTAGTTTTTAGTCAGCTTCAGTGAAGCTGTCTGTAAACCACCAAGGATGCAAAATTCCATGTCAATTACACACACACCTTTGTTTCTGTTCAGATGAGTGTCTCTCTTGACCTGGCCAAGTAGGAGGCCTGCATGCCTGTTGGTGGAGGGTCATGGGCTGTGCTCTGGGGTTGGTGGATTGATCCAGTGTGTGTTTCTTTCCTGGCCGGATAAGAGCACCTGTTCGGCGCTAGTGTGCTCTGTTCCCAGCAGAATAGAAGGTGACAACTTCCCATTTGTCTCAGTTCAGGACTTTTCTGCATCCTGTTCCCTCCACTTATGTCCTACTCCCCTGGCCCACTCCCAATTCATAAGCGAGTCTGAATTCTGTTCACCTAGGTGGCTATCCTGTGGTCCTCCTGCTTTTATCACATGTACAAGTCAGACTATCTTTCTTTGATTATGAGTTTCCACAGGAGAGGGGGCTAACTTAATTTCTCTCTGTGTGTGTAGAATACCTTGTATACAAACTTAGTAAATACTTACGTAGGCATGAAGATAATGTGTCTGTAATTTATCCAGAGAGAAGAACACTTCTCTATAACCCACAGCCAGGTACGTAAGAAAGAGAATCAACTCTTAAATGTAAGCACCAGAAAAGAACAGCGTCCCAGCGTCTAGAACAATGCCTGGCGCATAGTAGTTGTTTAATAAATATGTCTCGAATGAATGAATGAATCTGGTCTTTATTTTAAGTGTCTTCCTAAATTGCATTATAGTTAACTCTGGGTTATCCAGCATGTCTGGAATCTGGAACTGTAGCTTTTATTAAGTATTACCATGTGTAACCAACAGCAGTAAAGACTTTGCAAAAAATTTGGACATGCGAGAGTCTACAGCACTAAAAAAACTAACAATGAACTTGATCCGGAAGTTACTTCAGGGCCTTGCTACACTTTGGGCTTGTCATTCAGTGTGTCAGTAACCACCGTGCTAGAACGAGGAAGAATTTAACAGAGTGTTTTGGTAGGATGCTGAGTAACGAAGTTTTCTCTCTCAACCTAGTAGCCAGGAATAATTTTAATGTTACTTACCGCGAAAGTTGTCTTACAGAGCGAACTGATTTGTTTTGTACTCTTTGGGCCACTTGAATGTGGCCTCCGTCATCTTTAAGAGGTGGTTTGTTAGGACAGGTCTTCAAGTGGTACTTTTTGATTTGCCGCCTTTTGTTCTTCATGTCAGAGAGAGAAACAAAGGGAGGGTGAGCGTGTGCGCACCAGGCAAATGTGCGGGGACCAAAGGATTTTCAAACTATGTACGTTTTCTTTTACAGATTTGAAGAAGACTCTTGCTGTGTTGTTGGATAACATTTTGCAGCGCATTGGCAAGTTAGAGTCAAAGGTGGACAACCTCGTAATCAATGGCACAGGGACGAACTTGACCAACTCCACCACAGCTGTTCCCAGCTTGGTAGCACTTGAGAAAATTAATGTGGCAGGTAAGGACTGCAATTCTATGCCCTGACATGAAGTCAAAGCCTGCTTCGAACTCGGAAGAGAATACAGGAGCACAATGTTCTTATTGGCATAAGATAAATCCCATAAACTTGGTATGGCCCCTGTAAAGCTCATTTTTAATTTAATTTTGAATAACACGTTCAAATGCTTTTATAGCCTCTTCATGATGTGTAATATCTGGTGGTCTCCATGGCATATTTCCCATAATGGGCTCCTGGAATTACTTTTTTTTTTTTTTTTTTTTTTTTTGCGGTACGCGGGCCTCTCACTGTTGTGGCCTCTTCCTCTGCGGAACGCAGGCTCCAGACGTGCAGGCTCAGCGGCCATGGCTCACGGGCCCAGCCGCTCTGCGGCATGTGGGATCCTCTCGGACTGGGGCACTGTGTCCCCTGCATCGGCAGGCAGACACTCAACCACTGCGCCACCAGGGAAGCCCTTGAGTGCCCTTTTTGGCTTTTCTTTGCCTCTTTCTTATAGGAAATTCACAGCCTTAAGTAGGAGAGAGATTCTTTTCCTTTCCCACCTCCCAGTGTCAAAACGTTTAATTGTTTCACATTAGGCAAGCTTGTTGTATTACGTTTCTGCTGTGTTCTTTGCCCTTTAGCAAGTTTTAAATTGCAAAATATATTTTTAATAATCCAAAGTATCCCACCAAACAGATATTAAAAATAACTTTTAATTACAACACAGAGGCAGTGTCATCTAGGCCATAAATCCTGTCTTCCCTTGCAGTTTCCAACAGCTTCTGTAATTAGACAAGAAAACCTCCCACTGTGCTGAGCTACTGATTAATAAGTGGAACCCATGCCTCTCCAGCCTCCACTCCTCCACCCGTGTTCCCAGTAGGAGATGCTGTTGAGAAGGTCCTGTCTGATTTCATGGCAGCTCTGCAGGACCCTGTATCGGGGGGGCGGGGGGGGTTGGTGAAGATTGCTCTGCCTCTAACACTGCTGCCTCCCAGCGCCTCTGTCCTGTAGGGCCTGTGTCAACATGTCTGCTGTCATTCTCTTCCTGATAAGGGATCTAGCTGCCTCTGACTGTCTGGTTTGTGTGCCGGGCTCACAGGGAGACTTGGTGCCTGAGCTCCAAGTCTCAGGGTACAAAACTGTGGAATGAAATGGAAGGCAGGTGGTGGCTACTTATTTCAAGTGGGATCCCAGCCCTGTGTATGGAGCTAGTTTACTTGGCTAACACATATCTCCGAGCACATTCTGAAAGTCATTGGCTCTGACTAGGGCTCCTTTAGAGGTGCCACTGGTACTGTGTTTTTACTGATATTTATAGAACCAGAGTATTTTATTTTGTTTCCTTTTGGGAAAAAGGGAGCAAATTTAAAGTTGTGCCTTTGATAATTAACCTCATTCTTACTCGTTTGCATCTCTCGTGTGTGTGACACACTCCATACCTTCGGGAGTTTTACTTGGCCAATTAGTAAAATAATACACATGCTTAGAATAACACAAATTATGGTCGCTCTAAGCAGGGGTGACTGTGGAAGGCTTCTGACGTAGTCAGAAGGTAAACTTTGAAGGTGGGTAGGATTGAGGCGATTGAGAAAGAGACACAGACTAGAAATGGATTGTGACACACATAAAAAGTTGTTAGTTTCCTCTCCTTCCTTCCAGCTAGCAACCATTCAGTAAATACCAGTACAGTTCCGGAGCCTTGGAGGCAACGTGATTTTATTTACTCTTCTCAGCATCTCAGAGACGTGGTTTCACACAGGTTTTGTGACTTAAGCATTTGGGATGGGGTGAGGCTTTGTTGCTGAGCTCAGCTGAAGACCTCCTCGTGCCAAGTAGAGAAGACATTGTGTTTGCTCTTTCTTTCTTGCTTCCACTTATAAATCATCCCAAATGGGTGAGCCTAGAAAAAAATGTGCAACCATTTTCTTAGATGTTCCTAAAGAGCTGACAGTTTCCTGGACTACTTAATATCCTGTCTAATAAGGAAGTTCTTTATGACTGAGGGTCTGTTTCTTTGGCTGACCTGTGTGTTAGAAAACAAAAAAACTTGTTCCTCTGTGCGTGTGGGTGCATATGCATTCCCTGCCCAGACACTGCGTTAGCCACAGTGGCTATAGATGTGGAATGAAGAATGCGGGCATCCTCCTTTATTTCCCCCAGAGGTTGGAGGGTCATTTATATCTTGTCAAATAACCCACATATTTTTTTTTTATTTGCCAGGTCTATAGCTTAGGGTGCCAAAAAGAAGGACAAGCACTTAAGTTCCTAGTCCTAGCTCATGGTCAACCCTTTATGGCTTTTTTTTGTCCTTTTCCTGATCCATGGCTGTGCTGGCAGTCCTCACACCCCTCCTGTCATAGCAGGAGTGGCTCTTGAGCTGTGAGAGAGGTCGTTTTAATAGGGTCCCAATCCTAGTTGAGTGAAGTTTTTCTTTCTTCCTTTCTGCATTAAGACATGTGGTAATTGCTCAGAAATGTTCTCCCTGGTGTGACTTTACTGCTGACTCTGGTGTCTTATTGCTAACTGATGTTTCTGACTGCTTACTGTTGTGTCTTACTGCTCACTGATAGATCTTCTGGTTGGCTATAAACTGCATCTAAATTGGGTACCATAGCAGTTGAAGAAGAATTCTCTAAATTTATTTTCTTTTTAGGGATGTGTGTGTGTGTGTGTGTGTGTGTGTCCCCTTTTTCTTTCTCTCTTTAGCTGTGTTCTGTGTGGCTTTTATTGAAAATGGCTTGTCTTACCAAATTTATTATTGCTCTTGGGCTTTTTTATTATGTGAAAATGAATGTTCTCCTAGATAAATTTAGGTGGAAATGAACTTTATGAAAATCAAGAATCAGATTGAACTGCATGTTTTTTTTAAACATCTTTCTTAGTGTATAATTACTTTACAACGTTGTGTTAGTTTCTGCTGTATAACAAAGTGAATCAGCTATATGTATACATCTAACCCCATATCTCCTCCCTCTAGCGTCTCCCTCCCTCCCACCCTACCTATCCCACCCCCCTAGGTGGTCACAAAGCACCGAGCTGATCTCCCTGTGCTACGTGGCTGCTTCCCACTAGCTATCTATTTTACATTTGGTAGTGTATATATGTCCATGCCACTCTTTCACTCCGTCCCAGCTTACCCTTCCACCTCCCCGTGTCCTCAGGTCCATTCTCTACGTCTGCATCTTTATTCCTGTCCTGCCCCTAGGTTCCAGAACTATTTATTTATTTATTTATTAGATTCTATATACATATTAGCATACGGTATTTTTCTCTTTCTGACTTACTTCACTCTGTATGACAGACTCTAGGTCCATCCATCTCACTACAAATAACTCAATTTCCTTTCTTTTTATGGCTGAGTAATATTCCGTTGTATATATGTGCCACATCTTCTTTATCCATTCATCTGTTGATGGACACTTAGGTTGCTTCCATGTCCTGGCTATTGTAAATAGAGCTGCAATGAACATTGTGGTACATGTCTTTTTTTGAATTACGGTTTTCTGAGGGTATATGCCCAGTAGTGGGATTGCTGGGTCATATAGTAGTTCTAGTTTTATTTCGTACGGAACCTCCATACTGTTCTCCATAGTGGCTGTATCAATTTACATTCCCACCAACAGTGCAAGAGGGTTCTCTTTTCTCCACGCCCTCTCCAGCATTTACTATTTGTAGATTTTTTTTGCGGTATGTGGGCCTCTCACTGTTGTGGCCTCTCCCGTTGTGGAGCACGGCTCCGGACACTCAGGCTTAGCGGCCATGGCTCACGGGCCCAGCCGCTCCACGGCATGTGGGATCCTCCCGGACCGTGGCACGAACCCGTGTCCCCTGCATCGGCAGGCGGACTCTCAGCCACTGCGCCACCAGGAAAGCCCTGTTTGTAGATTTTTTGATGATGGCCATTCTGACTGGTGTGAGGTGATATCTCATTGTAGTTTTGATTTGCATTTCTCTAATGATTAGTGATGTTGAGCATTCTTTCATGTGTTTGTTGGCCATTTATATCTTCTTTGGAGAAATGTCTGTTTAGGTCTTCAGCCCATTTTTGGATTGGGTTGTTTGTTTTTTTTTGTATTGAGCTGCATGAGCTGCTTGTATATTGGAGATTAATCCTTTGTCAGTTTCTTCGTTTGCAAACATTTTCTCCCATTCTGAGGGTTATCTTTTCGTCATGTTTATGGTTTCCTTTGCTGTGCAAAAGCTTTGAAGTTTCATTAAGTCCCATTTGTTTATTTTTGTTTTTATTTCCATCTCTAGGAGATGGATCAAAAAGGATCTTGCTGTGATTTATGTCAAAGAGTGTTCTTCCTATGTTTTCCTCTAAGAGTTTTATAGTGTCAGGCCTTACATTTAGGTCTTTAATCCATTTTGAATTTAGTATTAGGAAGTGTTCTAATTTCATTCTTTTACACGTAGCTGTCCAGTTTTCCCAGCACCACTTATTGAAGAGGCTGTCTTTTCTCCACTGTATATTATTGCCTCCTTTATCAAAGATAAGGTGACCATATGTGCATGGGTTTATCTCTGGGCTTTCTATCCTTTTCCATTGATCTATATTTCTGTTTTTGTGCCAGTACCATACTGTTTTGATTACTGTAGCTTTGTAGTATAGTCTGAAGTCAGGGAGCCTGATTCCTCCAGCTCCGTTTTTATTTCTCAAGATTGCTTTGGCTGTTCAGTGTCTTTTGTGTTTCCATACATATTGTGAAATTTTTTGTTCTGTGAGAAATGCCTTTGGTAGTTTGATAGGGATTGCATTGAATCTGTAGATTGCTTTGAGTAGTATAGTCATTTTCACAATGTTGATTCTTCCAATCCAAGAACATGGTATATCTCTCCATCTGTTGGTATCATCTTTAATTTCTTTCATTAATGTCTTATAGTTTTCTGCATACAGGTCTTTTGTCTCCTTAGATAGCTTTATTCCTAGGTATTTTATTCTTTTTGTTGCAGTGGTAAATGGGAGTGTTTCCTTAATTTCTCTTTCAGATTTTTCATCATTAGTGTATAGGAAT